CCCCGCCCACCTTCTCCCAGAGTGTAACCACACCCAGTACTTTGACCGCGACTCCTCCTCCTGCCAAGATTGTCCGGCCTACGCGCATGCGCGAGATGGCCTGGCTTTGTCCGTTGAAGACTGTCTGTGTGACGACGGTTTCCATGGCGACCCGAAAAGAACCGTTGCCTGTCAGGGTATGACGTTTTCTCTCTTTTAAATTGAGAAACATGAAAATTTCGTGTTACGCTTTGATAATTTGAGAAACATTTATCTATTATTAGATATCTATGTTCAGATTGTGCATGTGAACGAGATAGAATGCCGGTTGTTGTTATTGTTTTGTTTTTGTTTTGTTTTTAGATTGAGAAACCATTTCTTTTGTATAGGTAAAACGGAGCACATCGACACAATATCGGCCATTTAATGCAGGAAAAAATAAAACAGAGGGACAAAAACAATAGAGGGAAAGAAAAGAAGTAAAAGAAGTAGAATCTACCAGTGGCGTCTTCTTGTCGAGAATGAAATGAGGTTTGGATATCAGCTTAAGATAATAGTTTGTGTCCTGTGTACGTGTGTCACCAGTTTAATAGACACTATGACAAATGTCCTGTGTACTTATGTCATCAGTTTAATAGACACTATGTGTCCTGTGTACTTATGTTTCACTCATATCACCAGTTCACCTGACACTATAATGCGTCCTTTGTACGTATGTCACCAGTTTAATAGACATCATGTGTCCTTTGTACTTATGTCACCAGTTAAATAGGCACTATGACAAATGTCTGTTGTACGTATGTCACCAGTTTAATAGACAATATGTGTCCTTTGTACTTATGTCACCAATTTAATAGACACTATGACAAATGTCCTGTGTACTTATGCCACCAGTTTAATAGACACTATGACAAATGTCCTGTGTACTTATGTCATCAGTTTAATAGACACAATGACAAATGTCCTGTGTACTTATGTCACCAATTTAATAGACACAATGACCTGTCGTTTATATTTATGTCATCAGTTTAATAGACGCTATGTGTCCTGTGTACTTATGTTCTACTTATATCACCAGTTCACCTGACACTATATTGTGTCTTTTGTGCTTACGTCACCAGACACAAACGAATGCCAGACCGGGAAGATGAACTGCTCCTACGAGTGCATCAACACTATCGGAAGTGCCCATTGCGCATGCCCGACCGGAAACCAGGTCGCTGACGATGGCACGTCGTGTGAAGGTGAGAACTTGATTTTGTTAGTGGATTCGGGAGGTGTCATTTCAGGGGGG